AAAATAGTCAAATCGCCATTTGAAGATATAGTCACCTAAGTCTGATGGAAATGAAAAAATATTTATATTATGAACTTATGCGCTATCTATTAAGCAACATGCATAACTTCTGTTGCTTTATATTAATCATCYACAGATAGAGTACGTTAAATGATTGTTATTTAAATTATTACACTTTTCATATTATGACTGCAGACTTAAAAAATTAATATGGTACTTTTTTTTTATTAATCTATAGTTTAAGTGTATAAACTATATTTAACCTATGATCTAATACTACCTACCTAAGGGCTTGTATAATGTACGTAAGTATGTTTAACAAAATATAATAACATTTTTTTTTTTTTTAAATCTAAAATTCCAATTTATATTTATTTAAGTCAAATTTATTCTAAGCTTCTGACTCATCGAAGTACTCATGTATACAAATATACAATTGCTACTTGAGTTTTTCCATACCTATATAGTGTACCTATGGTATTCAATTAGTCAGTACCCAGTAGCGTATTCATCTCGGGGACAGATATTGGAGATGAATCAGGAGAGTCACCCGCTTGACCATATTTTTATTTTTTACATTTTCCCAATGCATTCCAAGAAAGTATTTATTCGCAGATAGATATTTTTATAATGCAGAAAAGATTCAACATAATTATTAACTATCGATGAATCTCAAATTACAATAATAAATAATAGGCAACTAATATTCAAATTTCCAATCTTGATTATGACTACCTATTATGAGAAAGTAAACAATAAACATATTATATTGTTTATAAATATATTTATAATAGATACCACATAAATTTATATTACACAATTATAATAGACATTAGACAATAGTATAATAATATCAATAATAAAGGCTAGATTCTTTACTTCATAGCCTAAGTTCTAACTGGACAAACAATCAGTCATAATGATAAGGTAAGAAATTTTGAAATACCTACCAATAAGGCAATAAACATATAATACCTATATCACCTATCACCGGAATGACAGAATATCTAAAGTATGACAGATAAARTAATTGATGACATAAGTCAAAAAAATAAAAATAAAGGTTGAATTTTTTGTAATAAATGTTGATGTCTATGATTATGTATAAATAATAAAATAAAATAGTGAATAACATTTAGATATCACATATTATGTATTTTGTGATAGGACAAATTTGTTTTASCAAAAAATATTTTMTCTCTCTGGTAATGGTTAGATAATATAATGTATGAACTATGAAGATTAAATATCCTTAACTCTTTGTGGAATAATATTAAATTATTAAATTATCACAATTTTAGGAAGTTAGAAGTTTTCTGAGGGTGGTGCTCAATATTTTCTATTTGAAATTTCCAGTGAAGTAAGTTATGTACTTGTGTGTAGTATCAGATCACCTTAGATCACATATCTAAGTAAATCACACATATCATAATTTA